GGGGGCCCCAAACCCCCCTTCCCGACCCTTTCTCTGTGTGTGGAAAGGGGTAGAAGACATAAACTTCCCCAATGGGCCTGCCCTGAGTGTGAAAAGGGTCAGCGCCCCCACCCCCCTGAACCGCCCTCCCCTTACCTTACAGAGGAACCCCCCAACCCCTGATCGACCTGCTCCGTGTTGACAGGGTGCGACCCCCAACCCCCTGATGGCCCCTGCTCTGTGAGTTACAGGGGGCAGCGCCCCAACCCCCTGATTGGCCCTGCTCTGTGCGTGACAGGGGGTGGCGCCACAACCTCCCCATCAAACCTGCCTGAGTGTGACAGGGGGCAGTGCCCCAACCCCCCAATCAGCCCTACCCTGAGCGTGACTGAGGGTGGCATCGCAACCTCCCGATCCGCCTTGCTCTGTGCATGACGGGGTGGCGCCCCAACCCCCCAATCGGCCCTGCTCTGAGCCTGACCAGGGGCTGCACTTAGGGATTGGGCCTGCCCTCTGCCACCTGGGAGCAGGCCTAAGCCAGCAGGTCGTTATCTGCCGAGGGGTCCCAGACTGCGAGAGGGCACAGGCCGGGCTGGGGGACCCCCTTCCCTACCCCCCCGAGTGCACAAATTTTTGTGCACCGGGCCTCTAGTATAAAATAAATATCAAAAACATAAATCTTTGTTTTACTATGGTTTCAAATATCAAAAAATTTCTATATGTGACACGGCACCAGAGTTAAGTTAGGGTTTTTCAAAATGCTGACACACCGAGCTCAAAAGGTTCGCCATCACTATTATAGACTGACCAAATTAACAAATGAATATATTTAAAAAAATTTATCTTTACGAACATTTCCCCCTCTAAACTAAACTCTCCTTCATATATCTTCTAGTCCCTTAGATCAATCAGTAATCTTCAACTTATTTAGTTGTAAACTTCATGAGAAACTATGTAAATTCTATTGTGCTTTAAGAATACAGCTAACAATTTCATCATGAGTTTAATATTTTCAAAATATGACATTTAGAGCTTATTATTCATTATGCATTTGCTCCAAGCATTGAAGCTGTAGATTTAGTTTATTCAGTTTATGCAAATATTTAATAGGCAAATCTAAATTTCATTCTTAAACCCACTCAGAAAAGTCCCATTTTATTTTTCAGTTCAACTCACCATGCTAATATATATATAATGACAACCAAGTCACTTCTGGAGTACATTTTTAAGATGAATAAAAGATGGATAGATAGATAGATAATAAATAGATAAAATAGATAGATCTAGATAGAGGCACTGGGTTTTCTATGAAATTATTCCCTGGATGAAATAATGAACTTCCCACTTTAATATTTATTATCAAAGATCTGTCGGCTTTGCTATTAATTGTCACTCTATTAGGGGAGTGTCAATTATATCATCAAACAAAAACAAATTAGACTTAAGTAAGAGATACTTTATTTGAGAGGAGGCCTTTCTGAATGTTGGGACTATAAGTGTCTCAAAGATAAATCAGAAAGATTTTTCTTTTATAGGGAAGTAACCTGACTAGAGAGAGAATGAGCGGGTGTGTGGTTGAATAATTGATCAGCAAATGCTTTTCTTGATGCCAATAGCTTCTTGGAGAGGCCTTTACAGGGGTTTGCTCTTCCAAAGCATGCTTAAGTTTGAGGCTGTGTCAAAATTTAGGGTGTTTGTATGGCAGGGTGGAGGCAAGAACAAAAGTTTGATCCAGTCAGCATGTATTTTGTCCAGATTATGCAATTATCTATTTGTTTAGGAGGAAAAAGCTTGTTATTTCTGTTGCAAACAATTCACTCAGAGAGATTTGGGGCCAATGATGTATAAAAAACTTCATTTAGTGGAGTGAAGCAGAGGAGGAGAGGGAGTGGGACAGGAGCCATGGTGAACCAGGAGGGGAGTTCTCAGGCCAGTACACCCGGAAGTGATGGCAGTGGACACTTCCCCTAGTGCTCTCCTTGCCTCTGTCCACCAGGAAGCCCTCATGTTCCCAGGTGGAAGCTCCCTACCTTGGGGAGAGTTTAATGTGATTCTTTCCTTCCTTCCAGGTTTTGGAGTTTGAATTGACTCCAGAAGACATGAAAGCAATTGATGGCCTGAACAGAAATTTCAGATTTTTTAAATTGCCATTGTAAGTGACTTGTAGATTGTTTTTCCTGGGTTCTTTCCTGTAATGCGTAGGTTAGCAGAGGGACTCAGCTTCCTTAAATAGGAAATATGGGCCTGATTTCTACTACAGAAGTAAATCTGGAGCTTCCTGGTAACCTCAGACCACAGGTTTACTCCAGGTTCAGACTCTGACCCAAGAGAAGTGTGAGCAGGGCTCAGAACAGACCATAGGTAAAATGGCCCAAGTTTGCATCATGGTGAATACGTGACTTTTATGCCCTAATTCCTGTGCCTGGTATACATACTCCCACTAAGATCTGACTTACCCATTTGACATAGAAGGCTCAGTGCCGACTTCCCACTATACTTTAGGGGTACTAATCCTATATACTAATCCTATATAATAAAAGGGTAATATGCAAATTGACCCTAACTGCAGAACCACCGGGAATGACCAGTCACTATGATGCGCACTGACCACTAGGGAGAAGGCGCTCAATGCAGGAGCTGCCCCGTGGTGGTCAGTGTGCTCCCACAGGGGGAGCACCATTCAGCCAGAAGCCAGGCTGATGGCTGCAAGGACAGTGGTGGTGGTGGGAACCTCTCCCGCCTCCTCAGCAGCGCTAAGGCTGTCCAACTTCAGCTTAGGGGAGTGGGCCTAAGCCGGCAGTCAGACATCCCCTGAGGGCTCCCGGGCTGCCAGAGGGATGTCTGACTGCCAGCATAGGCCCTATCCCCTGGGGAGTGTGCCTAATCCGGTAGGTAGACATCCCCCGAGGGATCCCAGTCTGCAAGAGGGTGCAGGCCAGGCTGAGGGACCCCCCTGAATGCACAAATTTTCATGCACCAGGCCTCTAGTCTAAAAATAAAAAGCCATTCAAAGTAAGAGGGAACAAGTACTTTTTGAGTTCAAACAGAATAGCTAATGGGAAAACATTAATTTAGATAGAAGCCCCAATAATGTTCATATTAGGAGACAGGGGCATTGGTTATTTATAAGAAAGGGAAGGGGAGCAATAATTACATCTCCAGAAGGAAAGCAGTGATGTTAATTCTAAACAATGTTTTTAATTTTCAGTCTAGTAGTCATCAGTCCATTACTCATGATAACTGTTTTCTTGTTATCCTCGCAAACAGTTCCCTGAGACAGTGTTGCCTATGCCAAGTCAAAAGGATATTTTGCCCTTTTTAACATTCCATAAAATGTGAGGCATAAGACATGCTGGGGAATTAGTTCCTCTGGCGTGGCAACTCTGGCGCCATTTTAAAGTGGCTCAGGTTATGTTATTGTTTATAGGAGCCTATGAGAATGTTTCATCTTTAATGCTTTTTAAAATCAGGAGGAAACATGGTTATAGTAATGACCATGTAACAATGAATCCAGCCTGGACTCTATTCATTTTTTCCTAGCACAACTATAAAATGTAACATGAATATTTTTAATGGAGGATGGGCCCAGGAAGGCAAGTGTATGTGTGGGTGTCAGAAAGTCATCCTTGGACCCGGTTCCACCGCTTCCCCAAAGGGTCAGTGGCATTTCTCCTTAACTGGGTATTCCATTTCCAAGGCATTATCCATTTCTTCCAAATTTCTCCCTTCGTTGGCCTTTTATCCTTATTACAAGCCCCATTTCATCAGTCATATAATCTCACCAAAATGTATAAATGGATCACAAAATTAATTGCTCCTAGTGACTGATGTGTCCCCAGCGGCATACATCAACATAAGATCCTCTGCATTTCTCTGGTTTCTAGACTCCAGACTTGCTCAGGGTCACATTTGTCCATCAGAAGACTAGCCCCTGGCAGCCCCTGACTCTTTGACTTTGACTTATTCACAACATCACAGGCCCCTTGTTCAGTAACTGCAGGAGGGTCTCAGGATGGAAGAGAAGGAAGACTCATCAAATGAGAGGAGTTTGTAAGGGAATTTAGAGATAAGGGAATAGAATTTTAGTTATAGCATAAAGATTGGGTTTCAAAAAAAATCTTAAAACTCCTTGTTTGTAAAGCTATGTTGCAAATTTGAGAAAAGACATTATAAATGAAAAAATGCGGGAAGTAGCTTTTCTGTTCCCAGGGGTTTAAAGTCAAAGTCTGTGATCTTTATCAGGCCTGTGATTGTATGCACCTGTCTTCCTAGACCAGCGATTCTCAACCTGTGGGTCGCGACCCCTTTGGTGGTCGAACGACCCTTTCACAGGGGTCGCCTAAGACCATCCTGAATATCAGATATTTACATTACAATTCATAACAGTAGCAACATTACAGTTATGAAGTAGCAACGAAAATAATTTTATGGTTGGGTCACAACATGAGGAACTGTATTTAAAGGGCCAGAAGGTTGAGAACCACTGTCTAGAGACCTTTGTCAACACACAGGTAGGTCCTGAAGCACACAATTTCTCAGAATGCACTCTTTAATGCAATCAAATCAGAAAGGACAATTTTTTAAAAGAAAATAAGAACCTGGACAAGTACTTTTATAAATTGTATGAAAGCAATAATTTCATTTGGCAGTTATACATATTAGCTCCTCAGGAGAGTTACAGGAGGACCCTGAATTGTTGAATGAATTGGTTAAAAAGAGCAACAGAATTCTCACTGTGAATGTTCTCATGATCTAGGGAAAAAAAAGTGACACATGGGCTGACACAACACATTTCAGCCCTGACTGTCACATCCTATGGCAAACTCTAATCTAAAGCAAACTACCTGTCACTTGGCTTTTCTACCACATGTGAATGTGGGAATTGAGCACATGGACCAGGAGCTGCATGTCTGTGTGTCAAGGCAGAAGGAAGGGATGGTTGGAAATAGAGAGTTTTTAGCCCATCCTGACTGCATCCACAGAGAAACCCTCTCTTTGACAGCATGGGACCGAGTTAGTAAATAAATATCCCTCTTTCTCTTTCAGTGCTGTAGGTCACCCCTATTATCCATTTTCTGAAGAATATTGACCATCAACTACCCATCATGTGTTCTCTCCGAATCTCCTGCTTCCAGGGTGTGGAGAGGATTTCTGCATTTGGGGGAGCTGATTAAAAGCAGTTCTGTAGTTTCACGCTGCTTCCCGGTTTTATTTTTTAAAATCTTTTTATTTTGTGAAATAATAAAGACTTCTAAATGAAGGTGTTTGTTTTTCCTGAGAATTAAAATAATATATACAAATGACAGAAAGTTGGGACAATAAAAGGTAAAGAAAAGAAAACAAAGATAATCTGTACTTAGCGTATTTACAAATTCTGGAACTTGGGGGGATTTTCATTCATGATTTCCCTATACAAAATGTATGTGCTCATTTACAACACTGAAATAATCCTCAACCTACAGGCTGTAAACTTTTTCTACTTAGCATAAGTAGAAAAAATTATTTAAAAATTCCAGTGCTATATTTTGCTGTTATAAAGCAGTGCATCTTATTAATTAATTTAATTTAATAATCATCTGCCTACATTTTGGCATTGTGATTAGTTCTCACATATTTTGCCATTCATTCATTTATTCATTCAGCACATCTTCATTGAACATCCTTTATGTGCCATTGTTTTATCAATAAATAACATAGACAAGAATTAAACTCAAATAAGAAATGTCTTGAGGCATGTAGTTGGAGCTGCAGGGCAGTGAGGGAGATGAGGGTAGGAAGGAGGAGAGTGGGAGTGCTTGAGGGAGAAAGGGGCTCACTGTGTTTACCCCAGGCACAGGTTTTAAGAGCCCTCCCCAGCCTGAGGCTCGAACTCTTGTGGAGGAGAGGGAGACTATTCTGGGTCCAGCTGTGGTGTGGCAGGCGTCTGATCTGTTTGGGTTGCTGGAGCCCTGAGAGCCTATAGGGAAATGGAGAGAAATGAGTGGTGTGTTTTTCAGGAGACAGCAAGAGTGGAAGAGCTGAGAGCCTGAGTATGTGAGGGAGCATTGAGCTCAGTGGACATGAGGACCTACCGGCTGCACTGCATGTCAGTGCTGGGCTTCCTCCTGTCCCTCTTCTCGCTACAAGTGTGAAGCACTGAGGGGGTTTCAAGATGGCAGTGGAGTAGGTGGACCTTTCTTGCACCTCCTCCCAGGGCCAGACTGGAAAAAAAAAAAACACCTAATCTGGGGAACATTCACCAGGAATTACCAACTGAGGACTAGCTGAGAAGGAGACTTTTACTAAGGGAGGGCAGAAATCACCTGGAGAGTTGTAGGAAGGGCAGGATCGTGAGAGGGGCTGGCCCAGCTCCAACCTTGGGGCAAGCCAAGAGTGAGGAGGGATATCTTGAGTCTGAGTGGAGGTGGATTTGATGGGTGGGGGTGGACAGGACCACGGGTATGTGTGGGGAGGTTCTCTGAGAGGAGTGAAGCGTGGACTCAAAGCTGGGATCCCCAGCCCAGAGCGCTAGAGCTGAGAACAACGGCCCACATTACATTCAGCCATGAAAGGTGATGGGGTTTCTGACTGCCAAGGAGAGGCAGAGCTGGTTGGAGAGGCTTTTTTTCCCCCCCAGAACACAAGATTTATGTTTACAGCCACTCATTTGAGTAGGCTTCAGTGGAGGGAGGGGGTGCGGACTGGATGCAGACTGGGTGCAGACTGGTGGGAAGCATTGTAGGGAGAGTGGAACGGTGGCAGCTGGGAGACCTGCAATCTGTTGTCCACCTCATACTGCAGTGACCATTTTTCCAGTGAGGTTCAGGCCCCTTCCAGCAACCAAAGCTTAGGAAAAGGCAAATATCCTGGCCTGGAGGATACAGCTTGCTCCACTCTGCATCTCAACCCCTGCTGAGGAGATGGTAGCAGAGTCCAAGCCTTCAGATTTGAACAGTATCAGAGGGAGTCAGTGACTGGCTTTGGGGTAGGTCCATACTCCCCGCTGTCCCAGAACCTAATTGGTACTTCCCCCTACAGGAGAGCTAATAGAAACTCCCGGCTTCCAGCAGATACCACTGGGCTGCATACGAGGGGATCCACTCAGCCAAAGGAAGAGAAATATTCTTAAATAGTCTCAGAGGAGTGACTCTTTGATGGGGAAACCCACTGACCATCTTCCCTGACATTTGAACTACCCCTCCCCTTCATGGGAGACCAAGAAATCTCATACAGCCAATTCAGTCTAAAGCCCTTTGAGAAAAAGCCTTTTCAGTGACTAAGATTATAGTTGGCCAGCACAGGGAGGTGTGCAGAGGCAGAGCTCTAGCAGCCTTGGGCCATTTGCTGGCCCTTCCCTAGACACCATGCTGAAAACAACAGGGATCTAGAGCTCAACTTGGCCCTCCCACTCATAGCCAATCCCTGTAGAGACAGACACAAACTGTGGATGGTTTGAAGCTTTGAACAGGTTGCTGATAGCCAAACATGGACAGCTTCTGACAGTGGTTAGCAGCACTTCCCAGGAAGCCCAGAAGTGGCAGACAAAACTGGAAGCCTCAGTCAACATAAGAGCAAAATCCAAAGGGAGCTACAAGGAGGCACTAAATTCTACTGAGATGAATACTACTTTCTTCTTCTTCTTCTCCTTCTCCTTCTTCTTCTTCTTCTTCTTCTTCTTCTTCTTCTTCTTCTTCTTCTTCTCCTCCTCCTCCTCCTCCTCCTCCTCCTCCTCCTCCTCCTTCTCTTTCTCCTTCTCCTACTCAGTCTACTCCTCCTCCTCCTTCTTTTTCTTCTGAATTGTTTTTTTTTAATTTTTTCTTCTTTATTGCTTTGTTATTATTTTTGTTTCTTTTTTCTTTCATATCTTTTATTTTTCTGTTTCCTTTTCTTACACTATTTTTTTTCTTCTCCTTCTTACTCTTGTTTCATTTTCTTATTTTTTGTCTTTCTTGCACCTCATTTTAACTTTTCATAATTTTTCTTCTTTTTCTTTTATACTGTTTTGCTTTCTCTATTATTTATTTTTATTATTTACCTCCCTTCTTTTATTTAATATTCCTTTTTATCACCAGCTTTTGTTTCTCCTCATATTTTTTTAATTTTCTTTTATTATTCCTATTCTCTTTCCTAATTCTGTTTTATTTTGTGGTTGTTTTTGTTGTTGTTGTAGGGGCCTTTGTATGTTTTTGTTTTGTTTCTTGGTTTGTTTTGTTTTGTCAGCAGTTGCACAACAGCTCACACAGCGTGGTTGGGGTTGAGCCTCACAGTCAGCCAGCTTGAGAGGAGATCCCACCCACAAACGGGACTAACAATTAAGACGCAATTGGAACAGAGAGAGCTCCCTCCCAAAACCCACACAAGGGACATTCCTAGGGCATCCAGCTCATGAGAACAAAGGGACTGCACCTCTGGGTATCACAGAACACTAATACATAAAGCCAATACTAATATTATTAGTACAGGGGTGGGCAAACTTTTTGACTCAAGGGCCACAATGGGTTCTTAAACTGGACCGGAGGGCCGGAACAAAAGCATGGATGGAGTGTTTGTGTGAACTAATATAAAGTCAAAGTAAGCATCATTACATAAAAGGGTACGGTTTTTTTTTTTTTTTTTTTTAGTTTTATTCATTTCAAACGGTCCGGATCCAGCCCGCAGGCCGTAGTTTGCCCACGGCTGTATTAGTATCACAGAATACTAATACATAGAAACAAATACCAAGGGACAGCAACAATGAGGAGACAATGAAAAAACTCCAAATGAAAAAAGGAGGAAACTCCATAAAAAGAGCTAAACAAAAAGGAGGCAAGCAATTCATCAGATATGCAAGATTAAAAGTGATGGTTATAAGGATGCACCAGGAACTTAGTGAGAACTACTAGGATATTAGTGGGAACTACAAGAGCATGAAAAAAGGAAATAAAAACAATGAAAAAGAACCAGTTACAAATGAAGAATACCATATCTGACATCAAGAATATACTGGAAGAAATCAAAAGTAGATTAAATAAGGCAGAGGATCTAATCAGTGATTTGGAAGCAAGGTAAAAAAAAACCCCACCCAATTAGAGCAGCAAAAATAAACAATGAATTGAAAACAAGAGTATAGTTTAAGGGAAAATTGGGATGATATGAAACATAAGAAAATCCACATCATAGGAGTACCAAGAAGAAGAACATGAACAAATAATAGAGACCCCATGTAAAGAAATAATGATAGAAAACTTTCCTCTGTGAAGGAAAAAGTCACAGAAGTTCAGGAAGCACAGAGAGTTCCAGTCAAGATGAACCCAGAGAACCACTGCAAGACACATCATAATTAAAATGACAAGCATTAAGAACAAAGAATCTTAAATGCAGTGAGAGAGAGACAGAAAGTTACCTACAAAGGAGTACCCCTTAGACTGTCAGCTGATTTCTCAAAGAAACACTTCAGGCCAGAGTGAATGGCATGAAGTATTCAAAGTAATAATTAATACCTATCCTCCTCAAACTATTCCAAAAAATTCAAGAGTAGTGAAGACTTCCAAGCTGTTTTTACAAGGCTAGCATTATCTTAATTCTACAACTAGAGAAAAACACTACAAAGAAAGAGAATTACAGGTCAATATCCCTGATGAACATAGATGCTATAATCCTCAACAAAATATTAACAAATCAGATCTAGCAATACATTAAACAGGTTATACACCATAACCAAGTGGGATTTATGCTGGGGATACTAGGTTGGTTTAATATTCACAAATCAATAAACATGATACATCATGTAAACAAAATGAAACATAAAAATCACATGATCATATCAATAGATGCAAAAATACATTTAACAAAGTCCAGCATTCATTTATGATGAAAACTCTCAGCAAACTAGAAATAGAGAGATCATACTTCAACATAATAAAGGCCAAATATGACAAATTTACAGCGAACATCATACTCAATGGGCAAAAACTAAAAACATTTCCCTTAAGAATAGGAAGAAGACAAGGATGTTTGCTTTTACCACTCTTACTCAACAGTACTCAAAGTCCTAGCCACAGTGATCAGATAAGAAGAAGACATAACAGGCTTCCAAATTGGCAAGGAGGAAGTAAAACTCTCATTATTCTCATATGACATGATATTGTACATAGAAAACCCTAAAGATTCCACCAAAAAACTGCTCGATTTAATAAGTAAATTAGGCAAAATAGCAGGATACAAAGTTGACATCCGGAAATAGATGGTATTTTTATACACCAATATTCAACTCTCAGAAAGAGAAACTAAAAAACAGTTCAA